ACTCCAAAGGTAATCCAAATATCCTCAGAGGAGCTCTCCCAAGAGATACAAGCTAACCATTCTGTCTTCAATGCCTCCTGACCATCAAACCAGCCATGAAAAATATAGAAGACAGCAACCCACTGTGTTCATTGTGGATGCCAGTGCCAATAAGCACCAACCCAAAAAGGCTGTGGAGACACTCTATGAAATTGATGTGACCAGGGTCAACACCCTGATCAGACCTAATGCTCTTGACTATGATACCTTGATGTTGCTAAAAAAAATTGGAATTATCTAAACTGAGTCCAACTGGCTAATTCTAAATATAATTTTTTGTAACATGAAAGAATAAAAAAAAAGGCTCAGAAGAGTCCTTTATTAAGGAAATTGATTTAACCAATATTTCCTAAATTTATTTAAGCTTTTAAGTCCCAGTACCTGCTATATAATCACTTTCAGAACTCCAGGGAATACCTGCTTAAATAGATGGATTAAATAATAATAACATGTATTTAAAAAATTACTTTTGTACTAAAGGACACTTTTTTAGTTCTGCATTAAAATCATATAGTAATCCCTTGGCTGATTTATCATCCTCTCATTGTCTCCTATGTCTTAACTCTGGAAGTCTACAAGGTTGTATCCTTTCTCCTATCTATTAATGCCTTCTTACACCTCCACACACTATGCACATGACCCTCAAATCTATATAACCAGAGTTGATCCCTCACCAATGCTATAATCTCAGAATCCCTAATTTAATTGGAAATTTCCTACATCCCCATGTTTACTGCTGCTTTATTTATAATAGGAAAGACATGGAATCAACTCAAATTCCCAAAAGTAGATGACTGGATTAAAAAGATGTGATACATATACACAATGGAATATTACTCAGCAATCAAAAAAGATAAACACATGCCTTCTGCAGCAAAATGATGGAGCTGGAAGGGATCATGCTTAGTGAAATAAACCAGAAAGAAAAGGAAAAATACTAGATGGTTTCATTCATAGCAGGGGTATAAAGGAGAAGGGGAGAAAATAATAATAATAAACAACTATATAACAGAGACATTTTACAGGGGTGAAATGGGATAAAAAAATGCGGGGGTATTGGGGGGAAGAACATTGGACTTGGTGATGGCACATGGGTGATTTGGTGATGGGAAGCCCACAGGGATTATAACTGAGATGGAAAAAGGCACAAAATGATGTAAAAATAAATGATTATATTATTTTTAAAAACAAAACCAAAAAAATATAATTGTTTAATCTCTGTTTCAGTTAACAAGACTTCCAGAAGAGATATCTAATATGATGCAACTTAAAAGACTTGATATCTCAAATAATGCACTCAGAGAGATTCCCCAAAATATAGGCGAACTGAGAAGTTTGGTTAGTTTAAATGCATACAACAATCAAATAAACAGTCTACCACCATCTTTTCTATCATTAAGTGATCTCCAGCAACTAAACTTAAGTGGTGAGTGTCAAGCATTATCAGTAAGCAAAATCAATAAGTAGAGTATAGGGTCTAGGCTGTGAATTTTGCTGGTAAGTCACAGAACTGTAAACTGTCAACAAATTGTATTATGTACCCATTGAAGGGAAATGGCTATCCTAAGTAGAGAAAATAACAAAGCATAAGCAGTCTCTTCCCTGAAAAATATTATAATCCAGCTAGGGAAGCTGAACATATTTTCATTTCTTCTCTGTCTATTCCCAGTTATTTAGTATTTTTTCTTTTTCTTATCCTGACTTCTTCCCTTCTTATACACACATCTACACAAAGTCTAATCAGTATTTTCCCTTTCCCATTAATCCCATATCTCCACACCTTACAATATACTCTCTTACACAGTCTTTTACAAAGTAAATCATTACAATAATCAAAACAAAATGGGTAATCATTCATTTTAAAGAAACCAGGAAAGATTTCTAAAACCACAACAAATACTAGACCAGTGTTTTTTTTTTAAATAACTTAATTTTTTAAAGGTACAGGAAAAAATACTGATGTAACTATTTCTACATATAATTGATGATAATATTTTACAATATTTACTTGATACTTTTGAAGGTTAAGAAATAAAGTAACAGTTGACACTTACTTTGTACTTCTCCCCAAACTAAACTATCAACTGAAATTAGCATGTGTCATTTATGCGGTGCAGTATGCAATTTACCATTTGTAATTTGCTTTTCATTCATCATATTTCTAAAATTGTATTAATTAATTTATTAAAATTATTTAAAATTCATTTAAAATGCTATATATAACACTGTTATTAGAATTCATTTAAGTGCCATATAACATTTGATTGTATGGTTAAAACAACAATTGATCCACTCTCCAGGTTGATAGACAATTGTTTCCAATTTGTGACTATAAACACCTTTGTACTTGTTCCTGTTACACATCTGCTTCACTTTCTCTAGTGCACGAAAGTAGAATTGCTGGATCACAGGGCATGTTTTGGCAGATTTGGATAAATTGAGCTCCATAGTGGTTGTTCCAGTTAAGCCCCTGAACAGTTGAGTTTATGAAATTATATCTTTCAATTGGAAATAGCATTTATGATCAGAAATTTGTACTTTATGAAATTTAGAACATTTTGTGATTAAAAACAAATTTCATCTTTTTTTATACATCAGTACTAATAGTTCAGGAAATGCATCAGTAGTTAGATATAATGCAAGGGGTTTTTGTCTCCAAACCTCCCAGAACTCTCAGTAAGCTGGCTGGATAGATACATATTAGTCATTGCATTAATAATTCAACTTTGTAATTGAATTTTTTGGTCCCACTTTGGTGTTATGACAAGGTCTTCCTATATTTGTGGATACTTTTTATACAAGAGTGGGACATATTCTACTTACCTAAAAAGGCTGACTGGAGAACACAACTGTATCACTGGAAGTATAGTTCAATGGAGTTCTAGTACACAGTTAAAATAACACCAGACGATCATAGACTTTTCTATAAGCTAAATGGGTCTCTGATAGTCCCCCATGAGAATTAGAAAAATGTATCAGTCAGGATCTAATCAGGAGACAGAAACCAAACCTTTATGAACGAAGTATAATTATATTAACTACACCACTGCAAGAGAATTCTAAGGTTGTCACAAAGGTAGCAATGACAGGTTCATTACCAGAAGTTTACAGACCAGTGTCTTCCATGAATATTGATTATTGACAAATTTCTTAATAAAATTAAAGAAAATAAATTCACTAATACACCATATAGTATGACCATGTGGGATTTATCCTGAAAACACTCAAAAATTAATCAATGTATTTCATCATATCAACAGAATAAAGAAAAACTCTATATGATGGTGAAGGACAGAATAGACTTCTAGCTGTGAACTAAAAGTATAAGCTCCAGCTATTGATTTCTAATGATGTACACCTGAAAATTATATAACGTTAAATACAATGTTAACTCAGTAAAAAGAATCATACGAGCATATTATTAAATACATAAAAAGCAAAAATGTTTATGACAAAATATAATATTCATTCATTATTTTAAAAAGCAACAATGACAAAAAGCATATCTCAATACACAAAGAATGGAAGGAATTTTATGATAAGGGCCTCTGCAAAATATATACAGCTAGTATTGCACTCAATGATAATTGGATTTAATCTTTTTCCACTGTGATCACTAGAAAAGCAAAGCTATCCTAACACTCTACTTCAATGCTATACTAAAAGTCCTAGCTATTGGAATAATGCAAGAAATATAAACCTACTTATTAGAAAGGAAGAAGGAAAAATCTGGTTATTATGGACAAAATACCCAGGTAGAAAATCTCAGTGAATCCACAAAATATCCCAAAGAATCTGCAAGTACACTTAGCAAGATTGCTGTATACTTAAATATATTTACAAAATATAAATATATTTACAAAAAAATCTCATTTTTACATATTAGTAATTAATAATCAGATATTGAATATTTCAATGTGCCATTTAAACTAACACCAAAGCATAAAATATATGTAAATCTAATAAAGTACATACAATATCTATATGCTGAAAATGTCAAACATAGATAAAAATAATCAGGACTTAAATAAGTGGAGGGTTGTATACGGATCATAAATTGGAATACTCAATTCTCCCAACTTTATCTCTAATTTTAACACAGTTCCAATAAACAGTTCAGTGAGGTTTTTTTAAGGAAATAATGAAATAATCCTAAAAATTATATAAAAAGGGAAAGGAACTAGAATAGCCATAATGATTTTGAAAAAGAACAAAGTAAGATGACTTGAACAATCTGCTTTAAAGACTTCAAGATGTATACAAAGCTATAGTAATGGAAACAGTAACAAAATGATAGTAATATAGATCTATGGAACAGTCTAGAAATAGATGCATCTGTATATGATTAGTTGATTTGGGGAAGTATACAAAGGTAATTCAATAAAGAAAATATACTATTTTCAACAAGTAGTGCTAGAATAATTGGATCTCCACAAGCCAAATTCTTTTTTTAATTTTTGATCCATACCACACACCACACACATAAAGATTAATTCAAAATCAATCACTGACCTAAAGGTAAAAACCAAGAATATAAAACTTCTAGATAAAAACACAAAAGAAAAAAAAGACATAAAAGAAAATCTTGTAACCTTGACAAAGTTTTCTTAGAACAAAATTTAAAAAATGATAAATTTGATTTCATCATTATTAAAAATCCCTGCCCTTCAAAAGTCAGGAAAGCCCCAGAAGAAAATATTTGCTTAACAAATAAACATTAAAACACAAAAGTCAATAAATTCATATAAGATCATTTTTCCTTGTACATTTTCTGTCTGGATGCTATAAGTAGGGTGTAAAAAGTCTCCTGGTATTGTGTTACTGTCAATGTGTCGCTTTAAGTTTGTTAAAGTTTGCTTGATATAATACTAGTGCTCCTAAATGTTATAGGAACACATGTATTAATGTTTTACTTACTTTTGTTGTATTAATCCTTTTGTCATTATATCATGTGTATCTATGTCTTTGTCGCCTTTTTTGGCTAGAAGTCTATTTTATCTGATATAAATATAGTGGTTCCTGCTTTTTAAAACTTTCTATTGGAGTACCAGTTTCTGTCCTTTGACTTCAAGGCGGTATTTGTCTTTGTAACTTGAATGAGTTTCTTGTCCAGTAGCATATAATTAAATTTACTTTTAAATCTATCCAGTCATCATTCTGTGTCTTTTGATTGGTGAGTATAGTCATTTACATTTAGAACTATCTTGGTATAGTAGGGTATGCTATTGCCTTTTTTTTTTTTCTGTTCCTATCTAACTCATAGCCTTGTTCAGTTATTTGTGGACTTTCTTTTTATTGACTTAAGTAGAAGAGCTCCTTTCAACATTTCTTCTAATGGAGGACTAATTTTAGTGAACTCCTCTAGCTTTTGTATGAGAAGTCCTTTATTCTCCCTTTTATCTGAAAAAGAGATTTTCAGGATATAGTATTCTCAACTGGCAGTTTTTAGTCTTTAAGTATTTGTGCCATTCTTAACTCTCTTGGTATATGGAATTTCTGTTGAGAAGTGTGTGGATGGACTGATGGAAGTACATATTATCTAGTCTCCTTTCACTAGTTGCTTTTAATATTCTTTCTTGGTGGTTTCACTGATTTATTGGTGTAGGTCTTTTTGTATTTAGATAAAGAGGTGCTCAATCTATCAACTTCATGTTCTTACATATGCAATTCTTTCCCCAGATTTGGGGTGTTCTTAGTTATTCTTTCTTTGAAGAAGCTTTCTGCTCCTTTCTCTCTTCACCTCTGTGAAACCTTACCAGTACATTGCATTTCCAAATAGAGTTGGATAGTTCTCATAGCCTGTCCATTTTAAAATATATTTTCTTTCTCTCTCTTTACCCTCTGGTTCATATCCAGATTTCTACCTTTTCTCCCTTCAAGCTCACTGATTCCTCCTCCATTAAGTCTATTCTGTTTCCATAGGGTTTTGCAGCATTTTATCTTTTTATTGAGCTCTTTACATCCTGAAACTATTATTTTCCCATTTAAAGCTTTATTTCCTTTTTTTTTTTAACTTCTGATCATTAATTTTATTCCTGAGCTCATTCTAAAAGGGTATAATTTGTGTTTGTGGTACTGTCATTAACTTTCCTTTCTGGGGTCCTCACATCTGATAATTAGCGGTCTACCCATTTTCAGTGAACTTCATGTTATACTAACCTGTCCTGTGGGTTGGGGAAAGGGGACAATGTCTAGCATGCTTTCTCTGTTGTTTTTGCCAGGGATCTGGCCTGTGGAGTATCCAGCTCTTCTGCTTTGGACCTTCACCTAGCTCCACACCATCTTCATTCTTCCCTCTTGTAGTTACTGGCAGGGCTGGCAGCTATACTGTCTTTGTACCTCCAAGACTTTCTACCCTACCTATCACATCAATACACAGATTTCCTTAAAGTTCTTTCTAATGCAATCTGTGTTGGTTTCTGAAGTTCAGGGGGTGTTACATTCTCATCAACATACTACAGAATTCTCTAAAAGGTGTCCTATTCTTGGATAATTATTATTTGGCTCTCCAGGGAGTATAGCAAGGCATGTCCTCTATCTCCATCTTGGTGACATCATCTCACAGTTTTACTTTCTAATGCAAGGTTTATATTGGTTAAGTGTGATACTTAAAAATTAGTTAGATAAATGGAGCTTAATCTTCACTCTTTGAAGGTAGATTAGAATTAATGCCTTACTTTCAAGGAACAGAGAGTAGAAAGGAGAAAAATACTAACATTATATTGGAGAAACTTTGCAGATACTAATTTATCCAAGGGATAAAAATCAATATTGCTATTATGGGGTTTCTAGTATTCCTGATATAATGTGATGTTGTGAGAGTTCTTCACCTCTGTAGTATTTTTTCCAAGAAGTCATAATCCTGGTTTAACCATGAACTAATATATTAGAAAACTCAAATTAAGGGATATTCTACAAAAATACCTAACCAGCACTCTCAAAAATTTGACAATAATGAAAGATTAAGAAATTGTCACAGACAAGGGAAGGCTAAGATATAACAGTATACAAAAGTCTCCTAGAATAAATTCTAGGATAGAATGACACTTATGAAGAAACTAAAGAAGTCCAAAAATGTCCAGAGTTAATAGTTATATATTAAATTCCTTTCTTAGCTTGACAAATGTAATAAGATATGATAACAGTAAGGGAAATAAGTTGGGTAAGAGAACACAGGAACTCTATAATTCTTGTAAATTTATCAATAGAATTATTCCAAATAAAAGTTTAGTTCAAAAATTATCATCATACCCATGGGGATTACAACTGAGATGGAAAAAGGCACAAAATGGTGTAGAAATAAATTATTATATAAAAATAGAAAAAATATCATACCAACTCTATAAAGTCATTTGATGTGTTATAAAAGGAAGCTTCTTTTCTCATTTTATCCACTCTCTGAGTCAGAAAAATAAGTAATACTGTTTTTATGAAGCCACCTTTTCACTCCCAAGAAGTACAAAAACTTATCATGTGACAGCCCGTGAGATTCTCTGCTACCTTGCAAATGAGACACAATGTATGTCCCATATGTGGCAAATATTGGCTCCATAGCTTTCTTTAATAAAATGTATAATTATATATATTTTTTTCCAATAGGAAATAATCTGTCAGTTCTGCCTAGTGGTATCAACAATCTTTCTTCACTGAAGGAGATAAATTTTGACAATAACCCTTTACTAAGGCCACCAATGGAAATCTGTAAAGGAAAACAAATGTATACTATTGTACAGTATCTACAAAGGGCTGATGAAAGAGATGGTAAGTGATGAGGGACTGATTAGTTTACAAGCTTACTTGTAAATTTAAGGGTAGTTTGCTCTTACTAGAGGTTTCCAATCTGTCAGAGACTTTACAATAATTATCATCTCTTTTCTGAAGGTTAGGTGTTAATTTATATAATATAGATTATTTAATCTGAGTTCATATAAATTGAATCACCAGAAATAGCAAATACAAGTGAAGAGTTGGGCTGCTTTTCACCTATTTTGTCTTAGTGTCCCCTCAATAGGTGTGACCGGAGCTGCTGATTATTGTTAAAAATGAGGCCAACTCAGAGAACTCCCACACAAGTTTCTTCATCAATTCTGATCTGTATTACCATATGTAGTCACTTTAAAGACATCTATTTTTCCTTGAAGGAGGTGCATTGACCCTTTCCATTGATACCAATCAGGTTCTGGCCCACTATGGATCACCTGTCTAAATCCTTGGGTAGTCTTCATTTCATCTATATCCTTTCATTTGGTTGTTCCTGATTATTTCTGACATCAGGTTCATTTTCTTTAAATACTTTATAATTGGACCAATTAGAGACTGGTTTCTCAAGCCTTTGGGAGCAGAATTTCATTGTTCAATTCTTTCCCTGGAACTGGACTCCCCAAAAGTTAGCTTATTCTGGGACTCTGATTTTGCCACTCATTGTGTCATTCATCATAGTAGATCCAGATTTTGGTTCTCCAATTTAATGCAATCAACCATTGCAAAGATATATACATAACTATTTCCCTCCCCCAAACTATTTCATTGTGTACCCTGTATATGTAATCAAAATGCTTATAGCAATATATTCTCATAATCTACTGAGATGGTAACTAAAAATGTAGTCTCTTCTAAGCCATGATATACATCCATAGATATGGCCAGCAATCAGAAGCTTTTGCAGAAGTTGGATCTCAATGATGGAAAGAACCTAAGGGAAAATTAAGTCACGGTACCTTTTCTTTCTAGCTTGTTATGAAAACTGGGTCAGCTAATTATTATCAAAAAAGGTATTTTATGATCATCTTATTCCTATAAAATAAAAATTTTAGGGATTTCCAAGGATCTATAAAGTATTCCTGCTAGATAAAGTATTTTAGAAAAGGGATGTAGGCCCTCCCTGGTGGTGCAACAGGTTAGTACGCAGCACTGCAAGCTAGCTGCAGCCACTTCTGTGTGAGTTAAATCCCGGCCCCAGAGGTGATCCACATGGCACAGCAAACCTCTCCTGTCTTGCCCACTGCTCCACTCAGCATTGTACTTCATCGATCTGCCTGTTCTGCTCCCCATTCTGTTTCTGGTGAACACTCTCACCACCCTACACCTCTGGAATGTACCCCAGTTCTACATGCATAAATAAATAAATCTTTAAAAAAAAAAGTAAAGAAAAGGGATGTAAAGTTACATGATTGAACTTCATCGCTAAAATTCATTATTCAAGTTCTGAGAAAGGCAGATCATGTGATGATTCTAGCATCTATGGGGTAAGTGCAAAGGGCAATGGCAATATAAGCAAAGTCAGCAAAAAAAAAAAAAAAAGAAACAAAAAAATAGCCCCAGCCATTTATCTCATTTCTCTATCTAGTCAACAAAAAACATAGACTCTTCCTTAAATTTTTACTTAAGGAAGTGCATTTTTACTTGTAGCTTTGGCATACTGTCTAGCCTGAAATATTAATGATATGAATAAAATAAGAAATTTGAAAGCATAGAAATATTTAGATTTATTTCAGAGATGTAAGAGATCTCTAGTTCTTGAAAATTACCAAAGTACTCTGATCAACAACAAAAAAACGAATTCAAGTTAACTAGAAGCATTTTTTAAATGAAAATATCCCTATTTGTGTAAATCAACATTCATTAAATATTAATTTAATATAAAACATGCAAATACATATAATATTTATAGTAGCTCTGAACTTGGTTCCTCAAAACAAATGCCTAAATTTTTTTTATGTTCAAATATAGAAAAAATATTAGAGAAGATCTTCACAGTAGTTGCCAACAACATTACTGAGACAAAGTTTGAGTTTTTGTATCAAAAATTGAAATTGGCAAGATTGAAAACTGGTATGTCTACAAAAAGGTATGTATGAATGATACATGTGGTATAAGCTTATTCTTCAGTCTGATTTTTGTCATACTAATATTACATAGTTTTGACATAATCTTATTAACATGAACTCAAGTTTGCTGTAGAAGACTAATTTTAGTTTATGATGTATTTAAGATTCATGGTTGTATAGCAGCTAAGGGCAAAGACTCTGAAAACACAAAGCTTGACTTTAAATTCCAACTAGCTTTGTAACGTTGGGTAAGCTCCTTAACTTCCTTGCTCCTCTGTTTCTTTTCCGGTAAGATGGATATCACCAAGAGAGTTGTCATGAGATCATATTATGAGACATGTAGTATTGTCAACAATACTATAAGTACTAGTTCTAGTAAATAGCCTGCACTTTTTGCTTTTGAAGTCTTAGGAAACTTCTGTTAAAATTGAATATAAATAGGGGCCCTCCCTGGTGGCGCAGCGGGTTAAAGCACAGCACTGAGAAGCTAAAGCCACTTCTGCATGAGTTCGATTCCCGCCTGCCCCGGAGGTGACCACATGGTGTGGCAGACCTCTCCTGACCCACTCACTGCTCCCCTCAGCAGTGTACTTGGTCAGTCTGCCTATTCTGCTCCCCACTCTGTCTCTGCTGAGGCCTCTCCCCGCCCCTGAGTCTCTGGCCTGTACCCCAGTTCTGTATGTACAAATAAATAAATCTTTAAAAAAAATTGAATATAAATAGAAAAGTGTTCATTTTCTACAAGGAATAAGGGATGACACAGAGCTAACCTTTACTTTCTATGTGCCAACCTCTGTAGAACTTTCATGTATTATATATATTCATCAAAAAATTTAATACTTCAATGTGGTGAACTGGGTTGAAAACTAGATTTACAATATTTTTGTAGCTTAAAACAATGTTCTTAATAATTAATTAAAATAATTCTTTTTTCAGTGCCACTTCATTAAATGAGAGAGTCTACCAAGCACTTCATAAGTGGAAAATGGAAAATAACTTGTCGCTAACCACTGCAGCTTTAAAAGACCAGCTAACTCGGGCGCTAATTATGATAGGAGCATATGATATTATGGACAAAATAACAGCTTTAGAACTTTGTACACGTATAATTAAATTCTGAACAGTGGCTCTATAATAAAAACTGAAAACATATGTGCATTTACATTACTGAAGTAGGATTTTTAAAATTTTTTTTAAAAGATTTATTTATTAATGCATACAGACCTGAGGTACAGGCCAGAAGTGCTAGGGCAGTGATAGGATTCACCAGAGACAGAGTTGGGAGCAGAACAAGCAGATCTACTGAAATATACTGCTAAAAGAAACAGTGGGTGGGAAAGGAGAGGTCTGCTGTGCCATTTGGGTCACCTCTCTGGCTAGGGATCGAACTTGTGCTACAGTGGCTGTGAATAGTTGCATAGTGCTGTGCTTTAGGCTGTCGTGCCATCAGGGAGGGCCCTGAAGCTGCATTTTTGAACCATTCCATATCACTTTATCATATAAGAGAATCGTATGTCATGCCTCTTATAATTCTTAAGAGAAGAAATGATGAAAATTTGTGGTTACCATTTTAAACTTACCAAATACTAAACACTGTTAAGTGGTATTTGTTCTGTTGCTTTGGAATTATGATAGTCAAATATATAAATAAGTCATTCCATTAAGAAAATTCTTTGTTACATGTTTTTAATCCACCCAAGATTTATAGGTAGTAAGGTCCCTAGTGATTTTCATTATTGTTAAAAAGCAGAGTTACTTCCTTCTTTCTTTC